GAGTCTTTGTGGTTTTTATGTTCTTTTAGTTCTTCTTGGATGGTTGCATCTTTTTAATCTTAAGAATATCAATTAAATGCGGATTTTTGGGTTGTCTTATCTAGCAATTATTTGCAATCTCTTCGTTTTTTCTATAAAGCTGTAACTTTCGGGGCATAAACATCCATGTTATGGGCAACTGGTGTCATGGCTGCTTGCGGAATTTTGAAAATTAAGTCAGGAGGGCCGACAATTGTGACATTCTAGAAAATAGTTGGGGCAGAACATTCAGTTTGAGTTTGAGTTGCACTATATTACTCTCTGTATCTATGTCCATCTGCTGTTTGTTTTTCATAATATGACTTTTTTCTTTTTGTCGCTAATTAGAGGTTAGTATTCAACAATGCATTTGGCTTGAGGCTGAATACATGACAGAATTCAGCTCGTCCTTTTTTTATTTTTCACCAGTGCACTTCTGCCTGTCTCTTACAGAGAAACTACTTATATTCAACGTGGTCAGGATTGTAGAGTATTGCATGTCTTTAGTCAATTTTTCCCCCCCTGATTTTAATAGTGTGTGGTGATAATGTGTCATACATTATGCCTGAATGCCCATGGGCCATGGAGCCTAAGAAGAAAAATCTGTGCTATGTATATCTCTTTAAATAAAGGGTGAGGTCGATGTTGAACTTGATTGATATGAAAAGGGTTCTTCATTATTTAGAATATACAAGACTTTCTACATGTAAGGTCTGAAATAATTATGTAATTTTTGGCATCCCTGATGCTTATTCAGTACATATGCTTACAATTGATCAATATTTTGCATTTAAAAGTTTTTACGTTGAGATACTCCTTTTTGTTTAAAGTACATTCATTCTCTAGGTTGCTTATATTATAGCGGCAACATTGGCTTCTGTTTTAACGCCTGACAATCAGAGATATGGAGAAATATTGAATGTGCCACAATCGGTTGAACAAACAATAGACCTTGTTTATTTGATTGTTGGACCTCGTGTTTCTTATGCTTAGAATATGGTCATACAAGTGCGAGCTAGGTCATCTTGAATTGAATGAAATGCAATGCCGCTTTGTTTATTTTCGGTTGAGGGGGCTGATGCATACGAAATTTTGAATGGCTGTTGAGGCAAAATGTGTATTTTGGGAGGTGAAAGCTACTGCCTCTTTGTATGATATGAAGGGGAGCAGTAGATAGGTAAATTATTCTTCGAGAAGAATGGGCATTAAATAAGTTTCTTTTTGTTGTGTGGGCTACTACTTGTATTGCTGTTTGACTTTGTTCAACTGGAAAAATACCACTCTATCTTTCCATCTCCACCAATAACTTTGGGGACTATCTTGAAACTTCAGCTGTTGCATATCTAGCTCTCAACAAAGTACTCTGGGTCTAATTTGGTAACTTGATGTATGATAAGTCATAATGTGAATTTCTATTCCGAAAGAGCAACATAATAAACAATTAAGTTGTAGCTGACTATATGGAACAATGGACAAGCATGATCTATGTGGTTTTCTTTATATGTTACTTGCATGTCAACAGCTTTTTTAAGTAATGTTCATGCTATTGTGTTAACTTTTATCTTCCTTGGATTGTCCTGTTCATGTTTATGTCCTTGCTCTTAATTTAATTTCAGATGCTTTAAACCAGGGTGTTGCTGTCACATTTTGCTCTCTTTTTATACCATACTTTGTACACAATTGTTCTTTTTCATCTTGTAAGTGAACGCTTGATTGGTAATAGAGATCTGTCGACATAGGTTGGTGATGTCAGCCAAATATACATTGTGAAGGAGATAGTTTTGTTTTCTTTTATGGCTGTATTTGCTTGTGATACAATTTAACCCTACCAAATCGAGGGTCCAGTTTCAAAGGGGGGAAGTGCTAATTTATATATCTCATTGTTGTAGGGTCTTATTTGCATTTTAAGGACATGTCTCCTGGATCTCGATCTAAGTCCAAAAAGGGGAGCAAGGAAGCCCAGAAGGCATCTGCTAAATCTCCAGGACCTAATAATGCAGGTACTGGTTTGCCTGCCAGTGCATACAACCCATTATCAGGAACATTCCATACTCTTGAAATTTCACCAGCATCTTCTACCTCTCCTGTTCATTCTAATGGTCGGTTCCGGAACATAGATGAGACAGATGATCATCCTGGGGGTTCAGTGTTAGCTGGTGCTGAGTATGATTCTGTTTCTAATAATGGTAGTTGGTCTGGTGAGTCAGAGGATCATAAAGAAAAAGGTTCTAATCTACCTGTCAGATTAGAAGCAGTACCAGGAGCTGATAATGACAAGCGAGAGAAAATTCGCCAGAAGAATGAGAGAAAACATCAACGGCAGAAGGAAAGGCGAGCTCAAGAATTGCATGAGCGTTGCAGTGGCTATCTAATGTCAAGAAAACTTGAGGTGCTTGCTCAACAGCTTGTGGCAATGGGATTTTCTCATGAACGGGCAACAATGGCACTGATATTGAATGAAGGGAGGGTTGAGGAATCAGTTAACTGGCTGTTTGAGGGCGGTGAAGAAGCAGATAATCAAAAGGATAAACAAATAGGTGGGAGCAGTCTGAAAATTGACATATCTGAAGAGCTTGCTCGGATTGCAGACATGGAAACCAGGTATTGTTGCTCAAAACAAGAGGTTGAAAGAGCAGTTGTTGCATGTGAAGGTGATCTTGATAAAGCTGCAGAGTCCTTGAGAGACTTGAAGCAGGATCCACCATCTGCTCCTCAAAAGCCAGAGGAAACTGGGGATCCACCTACTCTTAATAATGGTAAGCAGTTAGGAGTTGCTAGTCAGAGTGCTAGGCCCCAAACAAAGCCCAGTCTTAACCCCACTCAACTAAAGAAAGATGAAAGGGATTTTAACTATACGAAGTCACCAGTTATGGTTGGAGGATCTTTGGAATCCAGTAATAAAAATATTCAACCTCTAAAGAGAATTCAATCAAAGACAGAGTGGGCAAAACCCCAGCAACCTATTATTGCAGCTGATAAGAGGTGGCCAAGTGCTGGGTCTAATCTTTCCGTGTCATATTCTTCAGCATCACCTTTGCAGGTGTCCCCCACACCTGCTAAGACTGAAGGTCGTTATATGGCTGTTGGAGGTGATTTGAAAAATCTTCAACCTGGAGCAGCTAGGGAACCAGTAGTTGTGATGCAGCGGCCTCAAACTGCAAATGCAAAGCACGTTCCAGCCACAAGTATGAGTTCATCTCCTCCTGGAATAGCTGCCAGTTGGTATCCAACCAATAGTGCGGAAGTAATGAGGTCAAATGGCTTCTTACCCCGCCCTCCCAGCACTAGAAGTCTCAGTCCAAATTATCTCAGTTCAAATCAGATGTATCACCAACTCCAGTATCAACCCCAGCATCAATTTGTCACTGCAAGCAGCCATTCAGTAGATCCCCAAGTAACCAGCCGAGGGAACAGCTTATGTTATAGAGCAAGTACATCTCCAACATTAGCCGCTGCTTCTCTAGGTCTCTTTTCTGGATCAGGATCGGCTGCCACATCAGGGGCGTCATCTCCGGTGGACTGGAGCACTGGTGGATCAATGCACTTTGATTACACCAGCATAGACTGGTCCTTGGATAGAGGGGTATCATCACCGAGGTCAAATGCATTATGGCTTGGTCTTTCACCTTTTACAAAGAATGGTCATAGTCATATTTACGATTCAAATACCTCTGGGATGGTCACTCAGCCGTCAATGAGATCAGTAGCCTCAAATGGTAGCTTAGTCCCCATGCCTGGATTGCAAGATGGTGGGGTAGCTTCTGCAGAATCCTCCAGTGCTGGGTCTCGGGAGTGGAGTTCGCCATTTGAAGGCAAAGATCTTTTTAGTTTACCCAGACAGTTTGTTTCTTCTCCTTCTCTGTAGAATGAGAGTAGCGAGAAGTCTTCTAAATAAAAAATGAAAGGAAGACATTTGAAATGTGTGTGGATTTGATGTTGGTTCTTATGCTTAAAAAAGTCGTTTGTTGGTGATAAACCATCAGCCGAGAACCCTTTTTCTTGCATTCGCACAGAATACGGTTGCCTATAGCAAGTGACTTGCAGTAACGTCAAGTTGTAACAAAGCAAAGAGAACTCATTCAAAAAATGATAAAACCGGTAAATCTGGTTCTCATGAGAAGGCTTAACCTGAAGGATCTGAGAACGGAAATATTATATAATCTCAAGGCTTCAGAATACTTGAGTTAAACCTAAAAAGACGAAGTACGATTTTTTTCCCTCCTTAACAATCGCCTTGTTGAATATGTTAAATGTATTATATTGGGTTCTCAAAGCTGCGTCAATAACGTTCATCATAAAACGGGGCAGCTAAAAAGATAAGCACCTTATCAGGAGTTGACAATATTCTCTATCCTTAGAATTCATATATTGTTTCATTTAAGAATGGGGACAATTAATTTTCATCTTATAATTTTGACCTACTTGTAACTTAATCCTTGATTTTTAACTCAATTCAGTTCCTATAATTTTAATCATTTAAAACTTAGTTCCTATTTAGTCATAAAAAGTTAAAATTCAGAAACCGGACTATTAACCAAGTCACAATTATAAGCACCATTTTTCCACTTGAGATTGGAAGGGTCCTTGAGCATATCGGACCCAGACAAGTTTATAGAATTTACTTCTCACTTTCTTCGCGGGCCATGGTATTGATGCATAATAGTGCCAGCCTCTTGTCTCTTCCAACTTCCAAGTGTTTGCATTTGGGATCCGGATCATCTGCCGCTGCTGTAGAAAAAGGCCAGCGTACTTGTGTACTTTTCTCATGAAATTAAGAAATTAATAATTGCAGCAGCACCGAAGCAAAGCAGCAGAGGATCCAGATCCTTGCATTTTGGCACGAGACGTATCGTTTTCAAGTCGCAGCAATTAAAGCAGAAAAGGCAGCAAAGCTAAGTTTCACATCATTACATCCTTACAAATATGCAGATACTGTATAACCATGAAGAGCCTATGGAAATTGGGGGGGGGGGGGGGAGGAACTAAGCAGTCTGAGAAGAATAGGATGGAGGGGTAGGACTTGAGGTAGGTTCTCTGTACCACTGGTTAGCCTCTCTAGTGAGAAAATAGGCATCTGCAATTTAAAAAGCTTAGGTGAGAGATCCCCAAAAGATCAAATCTATTATTTGAGGAAACAACTAATTTGTAAAACTTCAAAAAGTGTAAGTTTAGCTCCACGTTTATTTTGTTAACCAGGAGTTTTATTAGTGTTTGAAGATTTATGTCCGATGCTAAGTTCACTATTTTCCATGAATAAAGGGCTAAGCTAGTAGTAATGACTAAAGCTTTCTCGTATTTCATTGTCAGCTTCAAAAGTGATAAATGAGAAAAGAGAATCATACTTGTACAAAAATAAGTGCCTCTGGAATGACTAATTATCATAATTTTGCAGTATGCCACACGCAAATCAGAGGGAGTACTTACGCGTACTACTCCATAATTTGATAACCTACCGCCGGAGCTCATTAATTTCATGAGCCGCCATAACATATATGTTCTGTCCCTTTCTTTCAAAATCTAGCATCACTGCCCAGTATATTTGTACGCATTTTTTAAAAATTAGCAGATCTCTCGCTTTTCTTGATAAAATTTTTTGCAGCCACTTATATGTGAATTTAGTTGATGTTTCCAGCTGATTTTAGTTTAATTATGGGATACGCTTTTGGGGTCTGGGCCCTTCAATTTATCACGATAAAGAACGAGAAACAGGGCCCCCTCCCCAAAAAAAAAAAAAAAAAAGAAAGAAATCCTTATCTGATGGGGCATACCTGACAAGAAAACATCTTTGTATGTATCATCGTCATAGACAAATTGTGGAGGATCTGGCGAACCAATGCCAACAATAGTGCTTCCACTGCATGATTAGAAAAGGGATAAGAATAGAGGTTTCAACTTTTGAAGCAAGAACGAGAGGTAATTAATGGTTCCATTATAAGTTGAACCTCAGATGACAAAGAGAAAGCATGAAGAAGAGATATGAAACATGCACTAACAAAGGAGATGCAGAGACCATTGAAATCGATATAGAAGGAAGAAAGTATATCTAGAAATAATTGCAATGCTCCATTTTTATGGCTTTAATATTAATAGCTCTAAACATTCCATTCTAGAGTGTGGTTTGTCTCTCAGATCATCATCAGGAGAGCTGGTACGTTATTTATTTAAACAATAGCTTTTGTCTCACGTTAACTTGGAACTGAGGAAAGGTTTGCAATGTTTAGTGATTCTTCCAAAACCTTTTACTCCTCCTGTCGTTAACACAAGACCCATTTAGCTAATTTGATTAGATTAAGGAAGTTAGGTATATTGGTTAATTATAAGAAATATGACACGTTTTTCTTAAAATACCATAATCATCTTTCTTAATACCCCCTTTTTCTCTTCTACTTGATTTATAGTTGAGGAAGTATCTATAGGAGCAATTTAAAGAAAATTGATAAATATAAGAAATAGATCTTATATTTAGGACCAAAACTAACTCAATAATTGGGTCATATATTAAAAACTGGAGGAGTACTATTTTCAAGCCTTGCAACGTAAATCTAGCTTAATGCACAAGGATAAACTCCGTCCAACCAGCTGAAAGCAAGGAAATGGGGGTTAAAAGATTCTTCCTTCAATTTCATGAACAGCATTGCAAAATCAAGGAGGAATATACTCAAATTTGTTTGATGATTGTTTCTGTGCTTTCATATGTAATATATATATATATATATATGTATATCAAAAAATAAATTATCATGATGTTAGACTAGAAGAATAAATGAGTCAGATCAGCCGCCAAACGCCTTACGCCCTTATCTAGTTTCTAGCCATCTGCCTAGAATTCATCCAAGTGTAATCTCTGGTTATCTTACAACTGGAATCTAGAGAAGAAATTTAATAACTTGTGACAACTATAGATGCTAAAGTATATTTCATGATCAAACGTTTTCTTCAACACGACTTGGTGATTGAAAATTGAAAACAGCTTCATTACTGTATATCAAGTTCAATCGTGCTGACGTTTGAAGAATGCTCAGCCTCACATTGCCCAGACAGACAAGCGCACATAGATTGTATATGTGTGTGCATGCATGATGATCTCTATCACATGATTCACATATATTTAACTTTTAACAAAAGCCAGAAAATTAAGGTTTCCATTTTTATACCTTCCGGACATTAAAACAGCATCATATTCTCCACGACCAGCTGCAATAATTCGCTGCTTCAGTCTTTTAAGAGATGGGAGAACTTCAAATGCTGGGGGTTCTGCAAGAGCAAGGAAAATAATCAAGGAAAAAGTAATGCAGATGAACAAGCGAAAGCACTCAAAGACAACAGTAGATTTTAAGCCTTAACTTATGCTGTGATGCTTCTAAATGTAACTCAGGAACAAACGTAAAGAACTTCCAAAATGTCAACTATAGAAATGAATAATTTGCACTTGCAGTGGTACGACCTAAAACAACCCCTAATCAACGGGCATAACTAAATATTAATGTCAAGTCACAATCCCAATTAATCAAACTGGACTCCAGGTGCCTCCACAATTACACCTCTCAGTAAAATAATGCTCAATAGGGTCAAATAAAAATGTAAAGCTAAAATGAAAAGAGCAAAGAAGGAAAAAAGAAACAGGATTAAAACTTAAAAACACTTAGCAAGAAACATACCCAGATCGTTGATACAAACATCTTGTGATATTCCATTCCTTGATATCTTTTCCAGCAGTGCCAAAGGATCAACATTACTAGCCTGGTCCAATTTTAGACGCTGTCCCATCGAAATTTGTTTAAATTGATCAATACATATATCTATGTGATATTAAAACCTATAGCAAGCCACACTATTTGCAAGTTGTGAATAGTGTGACTTGTTATATGAGGCTTCATTCAGTGCACAAGGTCCACAATCTAATTATAGCAAAAACCAAGAGCGAATTATGGTTTGTCTACTACACCCAGAAATCCTGTACCTTGTAAACTTCTGCTGTTGAACATGCCTCTTGTGGTTTTATGAGAACCATCGGCATATCCAAAGGTATTGGAGGAGGAATATCCTGAACAACCTGTGCATATGAAAGAAAAGTCTTAAATGAAATCACATCGAGGGATATGGCATAAAGCATTGCATAGCCTTCAGTAAACACAAGTTTATGCACAGAGTTTTCAAAGTCTCAAAGATCCAATTGTCCTGAGATTTGTGATAATAATATTTTGTTGCTAGACAAGGAGATGGTTGAGAGCTCAAACTCTCCATAGCCAAGCCTCTTCTCAAAATTTTTTCTGGGAAAGGAAATTGGACAGACCTCACCTCGACCAGTGCAATAGGCTGCTCCCTGAGAGAAAAAGAAAGGGACATCTGATCCAATCTCACTTGACCAATCTTGAAGTTCTTTCTCTGTAGCAAGACAACCACTGAATTGATTTGCTGCCCACAATGCGGTTGCAGCATTGCTACTTCCACCACCTAGCCCTGCCCCACTAGGCACTCGTTTATCAAGATGAATCTGCCAAGAACATGAATATAGGCAGGACAAATTAGGAGGCCGTTTGGTTATTGGAATGGATGAAAATGGAGTGGTGGAAAAGAAATTAAAAAAAAAAAAAAGTGACTAAAATGGAAAGGAAGATAGGTCAACAATGGTTAAAAGGTAAGATGGATAATTTAGTTCAAATGAAAATTCTTGGGGTCAAGAGTCCTGATTCATGAGGTTTTCCACGAGTGTCTTGATTCCCACGTTCGTCACATTGGTCTTTCACGAGAATGAACCAAGATATATGTGCAGCCAACATATTAAAACAAAATGGAGACATCATTCCCATTCTTTAAGTCTTGACCCAAGCAACAAAATGGACCCTAAATATCCTACCATGCACAATGTTTGTTAATAAGCACACACATGCATGCTTGCACTAAATATAAGATAAACAACACGAATTAGATGGGATATCTAGGTCATACCCAAAAAAACTTTTCACTGCCAGTCTTCTTCCTGTAAAGATTAAGCGCCTTAATAATCTGTGGAAAGAGAATAACATAGCACTCACTCTCGGTAGAATATGAACAAGCAATAAAAAGAGGAATGATTTTGAAACCAAAGCATTAGCTTTTGTTATCTTACCAAATTACTATCATCAATGGGCACCCCAGACACATTGGTGGACAAACGGTCCTTTGTTGTTGATGGTGACAAAGAGAACTTAATTGTATCACCAAGACTTATAACCTGAAAATTCGAAAGGAATCTGATATGGTCAAAACTAAATGAAGTCATCTCCCATATATATGACAAAATCTTTCAGAGAAAACATTGAATCATATAATAGAATATGATTACGATTATAATTAACTTACATGGAATAGAGACGCCAAATCATGATATCCATCTACCCTCTTGCTGGTAATCCTCAAGAAAACATTTATCTGTAGTAGACGGTTAACCAGCATCAATATATTGAAACAAATGAGAACTTTGGAGTGCCTCCTAGCAAAAGAACGAAAAATACCTTGCAAGGAGAGAACAAAGTAAGCCTTGAAAGGGGAGCATTCTTGTCCACTTCATCAGCCAGACTGTTCACCCTTTCATCAGGATCATACACAATCTAATTCCGCCAACATTAAAGAAAACAAAAACAAGAACAAATAAATACAAATACAAACCATCCCTTTCATTAAATGCCACACCGGAACTTTAATCCAAAGCATAGCAACCAAAAGGGATAAGAGATAAACCTCTACTCGTCTCCTGGAGGCGTTAGAATCAGAAACCATAGCTTTAAGTTTAAATCTAACGAGCGGGGCTCTTTGAAATTGAATCTTTGAGGCAAAATTGCACGACCCATATCCGAATTGACGTTGATGGTTTCTTCTGAACGAATTTTGAGAAGTAGAGGAGTAGTTACTGCAAAGAAACTGAGAGCAAGCCATGGATAGCCAAGAAATGAGAGAATACTGAGGTCAACCAATGTGCTGCTCTATTGCTTTCAGATGTGTCGATTTGGACTGAAAGAACGAATCTTTGGCTAATTTTCCAACTCTTCCATGTTTAATTTTAATGGAATGTTCACTCCCCTCCTTGGTCATATTCATTTATTCGTGTTCTTCGTGTTTCCCTCTGCCTAAATTCTATTAAAATAGTGCCAAGGTCAATAAAATTAATATTTGTAACAATATACTAAATTTATTAAAAAAGAATATAATAATAAAATATTCTGGTATAAAAATAGAAAAAAATGAATGAAATAAAATTTCTGCATGGAAATTCAATGGCGGCTCAATTATTGTCTACTATATGTGTTTAGTCAAATTTTGACTAAATGAGTTTAATTCATTCGAACAAACATGTTGGGTCATATAATTGGGTCAGTTTTCTAACTGGGCTATAGGAGGCCCAGATGACGCTTTTGATATGTCCAATAATCCAAATCATTGTTTAGAAGTAATGATTTGTTTGATTTCTGCCTCTGAAAAAATATTCATGGTTTGATATTATATATATATATATATATATATATATATTTATATAAGGTTCCTGTTTTTTAGGCCTTGTATAAGGTTCCTGTTTTAGTGATGATAAAATAAAATATACAATGCGATTATTGATGAAGACAAACTAATGTATGATTTTGTTGCCCAAAAAAAAAGTTATGATTTTATTTAATTTTTGTAATTTAAATAATTTTTAATTCAATATTTTTTTTTTTACATTTTATCCCTATAAAATTTTTTTCCGTGCAATGTACATTTTTCAGGGGTACGATAGATATATTCTTATAAATATTTCATATATATTTTCTAGTTTTATTGTCATTAACTTTCTTATCAGTGGGACATTAGCGAAGAGATGGTCAAGACAAGCGAAGAAGACACATAAAAAAATTAAAATAAAATTGTCGTCAGTGATGTAATAGTCAGCTGAAATTTTCATACACACATTCATATAACTGTTTCAAACAAGTTTCATCAATGACTGACGTGGAAATTTAAAAAATTTGTTAATTTATTTATAAAAATGTCGTTGATTATATTTTTACTTTGGGAATTTAGCCATTAAAATAATTATAGTTTGCAGTAGTGAATTAGCTAGAGTGGAGGATGAAGCAGAGACAGAAGGAAGGTGGGAAAGCTTCAATTTTGATCCACCCGCCAGCTGATGAAGAATAAACATATAAGAAAAAATGATTTAATATTGATATTAAATAGAAACAGAAGACTTTGGTATATAACATATTGATGTATAGATTACAAATACACAAAACATTTAAGAATAAAGATAAATAAATAGAGACATAACTCAACGTGGGTGAGCAATTTATTCACATATTTAGTTCTACGTTGAAGAAGAAGACAAACATACCTCATGGTCTAGTGATAAAACAAATTTCATATCTATCTGCCGGACAAAAGAGCTGGCCCAATGGGCTTGGCCCATTTTGATAGCTCTAGCTATGTTGAATGGAGTTATTCCTGTTTAGAAAAGTCACGATGATGTTAGAGAACTCATTTCCAATTTTCTTGGCAGGATTTCAAGACTTGTGCGGTAACATAAACTTAACTGGACAAGCTTTTTCCCCTCTCCATGTAATACAAATAAAACAAGACGTGAGAAAATCAACCTCTCAAAACAATGTCTAGACACCTACTTGTAATGCTGATAAAAATGCGTGAATTATCTCACCATTATGCCATTTAAAAGTTGCTTTATTTATGGGGAAAATTGGGGATGAATCCCTCATTAAAAATTTAATTGGCAAATGGGACTTAAGGACTTTGTACAACTTAACTTCTATTGTGTGCAATTTAACTTCCTTTCTGTGTAACTTAATTTCTCTTTGTGCAAATGAAATTCTCTTATGTGCAACTTATCTTCTTTACATGCAAATTAATCTCCAAATAATGTTTTGTGTAAACCATCTTCCCTTTGTGCAACTTACCTTTCTTTATGTGTAACTAATCTTCTCTTGTGCAATCAATCATCCTAGAGACTATTTGCATTTAAATTTGTAATGAGGAATTTATCCTCAATTTTTCTTTTTTTATGTGACCTGTAATTTTTTTCAAGAAAATAGCCCTTAATTTCAAAAATTAATCCTTAACTCATTTTAAGGATTTTATGCCTCAATTACCTTCTTTACTATCTCAAATGATTATCCTAAAATTTTCAAATTAAATATAAATCTCTAAGCATTTTTCCATAATTTTCTGAAAAGATGAACCATTTTTCTCTTGGAATTATCTATTAAAATTATTTAAGCCAGTTTTAGAGATATAACTCTTCCAAAATATCTCCAAACTTTGAAAATCAATATTCCATAATTTTTCCTAATTTTTTTTGGCCATTAAATAATTTTAATAAATTTTTTTTTTCCTGCTCATCTTAAGTTAGAAAATTCAGTATGTTACGTGAGATGAGGTGCATTTATCGTTACACCAACAGCAGGGGCTTTTACAACGCCTTTCTTCCATATCCTTTTTGGACAATGCCATTAAAGGCTTCTTTACCGAAGCAGACGACGAAGAAGTAGAAGGAGGAAGGTTTTGTGTAGAAGAGGCTTTCGCTGCCGAGTAAGATGATGTTTGACCCCCAAAATTAGTGGAAGGGAATTGAGTCTGGGAAGACCGAAGAGTCCAGGGCAGTCGCGAACCCGCAGCTATATCCTTGCATACGAGCCATCTGCATCATTCTAGCCAGACTCGTTGGCCGAAAAACAGTTACTCATGCTTGGAGATCAGTACGCAACCCTCCTAAGAAATAATGCATCGAAACTTCCTCAGGAATGTACACGCCGGTGAGCAAATCATGAAAAGTCTCAATATACTCATCACCAGAAGAAGTTGCCTGTTGCAACTGTTTAAGCTGGACCATCGGATTAATGTGCTTGATTTCTGTGAAATGAGCTTCCATTTGATCAAAATAATCGCCCCAAGATACTTATTCTTCTTGGCTTTTTTCATAAAATTGAGATACCATTTCAATGCTTTGCCTTCCAAATGGATGCTCAGTAAACGAATACGACGTTCCATAGGTGACCATCGATAGCAAAAAATTGACGGCACCTATATGACCAGCCTCAGAGATCTGATTTGTCAAAGCGCGGAAACTCTATGCAACTCTGTTTAGTCGGTGGCGCATAGGATTGGGAAACATGATGGAAGGTTCCAAACTAGACGTGCTTGTTAAGATTGAAACTACTCGATGAACTACCAGCTTGATCTTCCTGACCGTGATGAATCAAAGGTGTAAGAGACCCATTCAAATCTTGCAAACACGCTTCAATCTTGCTCATGGAACTCTTCAAACCGGCAATATCTGCAGTATTCTGCTCTAAACGTCTCGACCACAGCAGCATTCAACTCTAATCGCTGCTCCAATTCATGATAACGTTCGCTTGATCGAATCTCTAGAGCCATTTGCCAAAGACGCAACTCTGATACCAAATTGGTACAGGCCGGTCGAGAGAGAGAGGGGGGGGGGGGGAGAGAGAAAAGGAAACTGATATCCATACTTTATTCAACAAGTCCCAGTATACACGAACGGCTGTATTTATACAGTGAGCTGTATCTTAACTGATTAGTAACTAAAACACGTGTTATAACCAACTATTACACTCTAACAGATCACTAATGAAAGCAACAATATAATGCCACGTATCATATAGCACTATAAATATCAACGCCCTTATATATTTCGTCACATCAAATGCTCTGTTCCTGCCACAACAAATGCCCATGTGTCCATCATTGATTAATAAATTTTATTTCTTGAATGAATTAAGCAGCGCCTACGTCAATATAATTTTGAATAAATCAAGTTACACATCACAATTAATATGAGAAGCTTTTGGATTAATGAGAATGAACAGGCACAAAACGGATATGGAAGTGACTTTTTCCTTTTATTTTTTCCCCCCTTTTTAATGCTGGAATGTACCATTCATTTATTTTTATGACTTGAGAAAAGAACATGATAGTTATGGGAATATTGTAAAGAGTTGGATATAAACATTGGAGCAGACCAAATTTAAAATCCTCTACCTACCAAGAAATCGATCAAAAAACTATACTTGGTTATTTAAAAAAAAATTACAAACAAAGAAACATTCAGGAACTTTAAGATGTTCTTTTGCCACTGGAGAATTAGAACTTTAACAAACCACCCACATTTTGGTTGGCTCTATCATAATTCTCTAAGAAGAATATAGATTCCATCTGCGTATGTTTCATCACAAGGACAAGAACAAAAGGCCACTGATCAGGGCTGGGGTGTGAGCTATGTCCCCTCGGCTGCCCCTCATTTTTGGGGCCCTTCTCAAGTCTTTTCTTTTTCAATGTCTTCGTATCATTATATTGTACATAAAATGAATGAAATTTTGATATTTTGTCGGCAAAAAATAGATCAGTTTTCAATTTTTTTTAATTTTATTTGAATGGTTTAATATCTCATCAGATGGTTCAGATTCTCATATTGTTCGCAAATATAATAATCTTCACAAGCTTTCCAGACCATTTACTTGCACGAAAATATGGAGGGAATAGATTGCTTAAATTTCATCTGAACAACCAAAAGAATGAACAAGACATGAAGGATTAGTTAAGTAATAAATTGAAGTTGTGAGAAAAGTGAAAGAAATTTAGAAAGCATTAGGCAGGACTTCATCAAAAACACGAAAAATTTGGCTAGCTCAATCATGATTCTCCAAGAAGAATGCAGATACCATTTGCATATGTTCACAAGAATTTCAAGTCATCATTTTCCATATCATTCGTGAAGAACAATATTGACAGGCGGGCTACACTAATCCTAAAGTATTGCTGATCAAATGACAATCCCCTCTAACCCGTCCTATTATTCTGGTCATCATTAGCAGAATGGAAAATATCGTGATAGTGGATTTCTCCTTCCTTGGTTCTGTCTCCTTGGGCTATCACAGTTTTTGCTCTTACTAAATGCAATGATAACGATCGAATAATACTAGAATAGAAACAAAGTGAGACTGCCAATATATATATATATATTAACGATCACTGGTGCAGTACACAAATGAAAACATATCAGTACGTCATTGAGCAGTACAGCAGAAAATGCACAAGACGAAAGAAGGGGAAAAGCAATAGGAGGGAGGAAATCCAGAGAATCTGGCCAGAGGGAATAACAACCAAAATCATGCACACCCCCTCCCAACGGCTTTTGTCGTATTATATGGGAGCGTCCTCTCCTAATTCCCGAAGCTTCCAAGGCCTTTTCTTCATCCGTTGGCTTCTACGCAGACCAATATTCTGGTTTGGCCTTTTAGCAGCACCACTCTCTGGATCAGCGTGGCGCATCTGGTGTGGAGTCGTAACACTGACATCCCTTCCTCCACGACTTCCCCCACAGGAACTACCCTGTCCTGGAGATGGCGGCTTAGGACAAACATTGTGCTGAACCAACCCAAGGAACAACACAGTTAGAATGATAAATAAAGAGTATGAAATTACAATTAAAAAGACAACATAGGTACCTACAATGACAGAAATAAAGAAAATGAAATGAAAATAAGAAACATATTGAAGTCTTACTATTTCCTGTACTAAAGAAGATAAGGTTTATATATAGCACATACAAATATAATTGCTTGAATTTAAGATAAATCGGATTATAAAAGCACCAACCTCTGCTTCTGTTAACTTGTTGAAATTAATGGTGGTATTGCTGCTCTGCTCTTGCACCTCTTCTTTACATAGCGCCCGCCATCCACATTTCAATTGTAGTCTATTAGAACTTTCATAACTGACGGTAAGTTTGATGTGGAGGCAGTGGTCATTTTCTCTTAAATGTTGCCAACATGTCTTCTCATTGAAATCCAAAAGCATTAGGCAGAGGCGAGGTTTCCAGCCATACACAAGTGAAATTTCATTTGCCCATGCTTTGCAAATATAATACTCTTCGCGAGCTTTACAACTCCAGGGAATGAAAACCTTATCACACGTCGACCCGCCTTTTATGTTGAGGCATACAGCAAGCCCAGACCATTCACTTGCACAAAAATATGGAGGGATGTCCACGACAAATTCATATTCCAAAGCACCGCTTCCATCTGAAGAAATAGAACTTATGTTTGGGAACCATGCAGGTATCTTAGATTCCCGCATCACTGCAAGAAAATCTGCCTCAGGTACATACCCTAACTGTCACAACATTAATAAAACTTTCATTGACCGTAATTATTTTGAAAATGAGAAGAATACAGCCAAAGAGATCTCCAACATTTATACCTGAATGGGCTGGAGCACTCTTTTCTCATAATTAGTTCGATGGCGATACTGAAAACCAGAGTAAAGAAATCATGTTATATGGATTTAGTCAAGAGAAAGACAAATAAATGAATACATAGATCTTAGTTAAACGTACCTCATGGTCAAGTGACGAAACTATATTCCAAATTCCATCTGATGATAAAGGTTCCATTGAGTCACAGCCCGTTGCATATAAATGAATTAGCCTTGGTGGCAGTTTTGGCAGAGACTCAAGCCTTTCACAGTTATTCAAATAAAGATGAAGTAGCTGAAAAAGATTGGAGAAGCAACCAGTGGGTAAATTAGAAAAATCATTTCCTTCCAGACGTAATGTGATTAATGATGACAAACGGCCTATATCTTCAGGAATTGATCCATCACTGATGCAGCAGTAGCTCAAGTCTAACATGGTTAATGATGTTGGATTAAATCCAAACATTTGAAGAACAAGGTCTCGGGGGCCCCTCAGATTCAAATCCCTAAGACCAGTCAAAAATCCAAGTGATTCTGGGAGTTCCTTTATGGCAGTTTTCCTTGCATCAAGCACTGTGAAGTTTTTCATACATTCCCCAAACTCTGGGAGCACTGAAAGTTCATTGCACCAACTAATATCTAACTTTATCAAGGAGTTCATTTCCAATTTTTTTGGAAGGGTTTCAAGACTTGAGCAACAAGACAAGTTCACTTCAACAAGCTTTTTCAACCCTCCAAGTGAATCATGAACTGCAAGGAGAGAAGAGCACCCTTCAAGATTTAATTTTTCTAAATTTGGAATTTCTGAGAAATCCGGGGTTTCAACCAAATCGTTGGAATTGCATAGATCAACAAACTTCAGGTTCTTCATAAGCTGATCAAATGAATAAAAATGTGCATGAGTTATTATACAAATGCATCAGTATATCAACACAACTATGCAAGAAAACATTAGTGTATGAAGTGTTTCACCTGCATGCCATTCCAAAGTTTTATTTTGCTGAAAGGCATTTGAATGTCGGCAAGTTTATCCAATTGAGTTCCAACCGGAAGAGTTTCTAGGGGGTATGACCTCCATCGAATAACCTTTAATGCACTAGAAAAGCATTTGAGACCACTGGGAAGTTTCAATTCACTTGATATGATGAGTAATCTGAGATTACACATCTTTGAGAAAGCTTCACAATGTACTTCTATTTCTCCATCTAGGTTATAAGGCAAAGCAATAGCTTGTATTGCTTTCGACCCCTAACATTGTGAGAAGAATAACATGAGAATTAATGCTTTCAAGGTAAAGCTATTATTTCACCCAAAAAAAAAATCATATTAAAATAATAAATGAATCTTTAGGAATAAGGTACTCACTTTGTCATTTTTCAATACTTCATGGATGTCTTCTAGATTCCACAGCCTGCTTCGTCCATGAACATGACCAGGAGATTCTTGAAAAACAATACTCCTTGCTACTTCTTGAAGTAAATCATGAACCTCTAATGTGGTTTCTCCATTCAATGTTTTCTTTTCAATCAACAAAGCTCTCTCAATCAAAATATTTATTCCAATTGTGGGACGAAGATCGCAATTCTTCAAAATCTGAGCTACTTCATCTCTTTTCCATCCGTTGAAGAAACAAGCAATGTCTAAAAATATTGTCTTTTCTTCATCATTTAATCCATGATAACTTATTTTTAGAGTTTGAAAAATATCATCATGTGGAATTTGTTTCATCCTTTCTAAAGTTTCTTCCCATTCAAGACGACTTCTTCCACAAAGAAAGGAACCTAAAACATAGAGTGCCAAAGGAAGACCTCCTGCATATTTAACTACAGTTTCTGACAATCCAAAATAATCGACTTCAGGATGATCTTTTTTAAATGCTTTCTTGGAAAAGAGCTCAAGAGATTCGTCTTCGTCCATGGGCTTAGCCTCGTATATTCCATGCACTCTGCTTGATTTCAACAACTGTAAATTTCTAGTTGTTATAAATTACTCTACTCCCTGCCCCAAACCACTTTGGATTTGCCAAATTCTCTAATTGACTCACATGACTTACATCATCAAGGACAAGGAGAACCTTTTGATTTCCAGTGATCCTTCCAAACTGCTCGTCATTTTGTAAAGTATGAAGGCCTTGTCTTTCTGAAATCTCCCTAGCATTAGCAATGAAGCAAGAAATTTCAAATTGGCCAGAGATTCTTTCAAAAACAACTCCAGCAAGAGTTGTCTTACCAACACCACCCATACCCCATATCCCTACAAAACGAATGTCATCCGCCTGAGAGTTGTCTTAACCATCCTTGACAGAATTCCAACTAAATTATCGTCACAAGATGGCAAATTACAACGTAAAGTGTTCCATACTTCTTCAACAATGCCTCGTATGACTTCTGTTTCGTGCCTAATAGGAACAAAAAAATCCATGAGCTTATAAACACCAAAAAATAAAATACGGATTATAGTCACGATAAAATAGAAAAACAAAAAGATGAATAATGTTTACTAAAACTAGCATATTGCTAGTTGTTGATATATGTTAAAAAATATTACAGGGTTAACTTCTCAAACTATTTTTACAGGTGAATGTAGTACCATAAAGTACTTAGTGGTACAGTTTTGCTCCTAATATATTAAAAATGCAGCAATCAACATCCCAACCTAACAGCACTGTTAACTCCGTTAATATCTTTACTATTCATCTGAGAGTAGAAGAAAGCAGTGATGGGAATAGTCCCTGCTGATGCAAGAAGCGAGAGATTGGAGTGAAGTAACGGTAATGGGAAGTGCGAAAGAGAAGAACCGTTAAAATCAAGTAAAGTATGATATACCAGTATGAAAAGACCAGTATAGAGAAAATAATTTAGAGCCAAAAGCAGAAAAAACAAGTGATGTGGAGAAGGAAAGGGAGGTGAAAAGAGCGAAAATGAGGGAAGAAGGGAAGTTATTATTAGAGTGAGAGAGTGCAGACAATAATGGGGAAGGGTATTAAATTAGAAATGGTAAAGACGGCTGAGAGAGAAGGCCTGGGACTGCAAGCTTTGTACACAAAACTGAGAGAAATTTCTGGGCGTCCTCCCTCTGTCCTCTGGGCTGATGAGGATGATCAACAGCAAAGGAATTAACGAAGGTCACAGACTCAGTTCTGTTAGCTTAAGGTTAAAATGGATTTGGGGTATCAACTGCAAATTTCTTTTTTCGTGTTTCCTAAATTTTTTTTATTTTTTATTATTAAATTCTATGTCAAATGAGTGAAATTTTGATATCTCATAATCCAAAAATGATGCTATTTCAATTTTTTATGATCTTTTCAGAGAAAACATTCTAAAACTGTCACAGTCGAATTCTTTGTAAAATCATAAAAAAAAAAATTGGAAACAGCACCATTTTTTGCCACTGATTTATCAAAATTTCACTCATTTTATGTATAATCCAATGGTTAAAAAAAAAAAATTTAGAAAGTAGGGAAAATTTGAGGTTCAGCAGATGGGGTGGCAGGGCTGCTGATACCTCAAATTCGGTTAAAATTGCTTCCTTTGTAATATATTAGGGACAAAATTACACAACTAAATGCTTTAGGATTCTAAATACACCTCTGAAAATAGGCTGAGGTGTTGGGTATTTCTTAACCAAGTATTATAATCCATGTTGATCTCTAATTAAAGAAAATGCGTGCGAATTCTGTGCGTGTATGTCAATGTTGGATGCAACTTTTGGGTTTGCTAATTCATATGTATAACTGGGGAAAGAAAAATGCTTACCGACTCCTAGAGTCCCAACCTGACAAATTGCTAACCCGGGACAAAGCATCCCTCCATTTCTGAACCTTGTCTTTGCTATTTTTGAATCTCTTTCCATGTTTGGCTAAATCTCTTCCGAAACTTTTTCTATGATGCCTTACATCAGATGGGTAGACACCATAGAAGACAGGAAGAACTATTCGACCAAATTTTTTTTGAGCTTCGAGAATTTCTTGAAGTTCGTCCAAACACCATGTAGAATTTGCATAATTTTCAGGGAGAACAACAACAGTACAGAGAGAATCCTTGATCGCCTGAATGAGTTGTCGTTTGATAACTTCTCCTCTCTTTATTCCTTTATCATCCCTAAAACATCTGATGCCACTTCTAATGAAAGCATCATATAAGTGATCTGTGAAATTCAGGCGAGTGTCTTTTCCTGCAAAACTCAAGAAAACATCAAACTTTCATTTTGAAGTTGAACTACAAGCTGTAAAGGAGCTCGGGGAAGATTCTTCTTGGGGGCAATAGGGCATTTCAATGCGTCGATCTCTTTGATGCATTGGTCCAAATAGTAATCTACAGCAACATCATCATATCAGTACATGGAATGATGGAAATGAAAAGGAAAAAGAAATTAGCACTAGTGGTAAAAATTACAACTTGTATAGGATCTATCGATAATATCAGTGAAAGATGCTGTTGCAGGGATCTCTCTTTCTCTTGAGCTCTATGCTGTGATATCATCTCAAGTCAATGAACCATACTCTAATATACAAAGACAAGTAGAATAAATATATAGACAAAAGGCTAAAGAGACATGCCTGCCGTTCTTTTGAATCAGATTTTGTCGTTGAAGATAATTATTTTTTTAGAAAAATGAATATATACTATTGTATTCCTGGTTCCAAATGATATAATATAATAAAGCGTGGAACTGTACAGTCACACTGACCATGTGAATGTATAATGTTCAACGAAAGTGGATGCGTCTTCCAAAATATTCCTCTAGGAAATCAATTTGCTCCAACAGCCTAACATCCGCAATCTGCGATATGACAGGATCACATCACAAGGCAAACGAGAATAAATAATTGGCAGAATTTAAAAAAAATTAAAATTACTAAATTTCAGATATGGTTACTTTAATAGGTTTCAATAATACTCCCTATTAATAACAAATTTTTTAAAAAATCTTTATTTGAAGTTTAGTAATTTTAAACTTGTTTTTGTGGGGTTCTCCCTATTAACAAAATAGTAAATAACAAAATCAAGGTATAGTCTGCAGCAAGGGGCTTTTTAATGAATTTATTCTAGTGTGAGGGTTTCTAATACATTTTTGAATTTGCAAAACAGTAGTAATAAATAACGAAACCAAGGTATTCAATAACGAAATAAATATACTGTCTCCAATTCTAATTATAAGACTTTATATATAGCCTATAAATAAGATCTTATAATTAGGATTGAAGGTAGCATTAAATACGACCCTAGCCCTTAATATATGCTATTGTATTGCTAGTTCCAAATGATAAAATGTAATAAAGCGTGAAACTGTACAAGCCACACCCACAATGTGAATGTAGACAAAAGGCTAAAGAGACCTGCCTGCCATTCTCTTATTCAGTTTGTACCTCATGGCATTTGTAGATAACCTGTGAATGGCTCGACAATTTAAAGAAAAGCTAATAAATGGCTTAAAGTTTACTAAAACACAATAATACCTTTCAAAAATATCTAAAACATCAATTAACAAGATAACAATTTTCAAAAATTTCATTTATAGTAAAAATATGCAATAGACAACTATTATCATTAATTTTTTAAAATTTCATCATCATTATAATCAATTACTCTTTTTTCATAGCAAAAATATGAAAATTTTCTTTGTTATAGGAATTTCATTTTTAAATTTTGTAGTCTAACTATTATTTTATTTTAGTTTGAGAAGTATTGTTGTTGAAACTAATAAATTTCTTATTCAAATTATAAAATCACAAGTTACATAAGTATAAAAATACTCTCTTATCAATTATATGTAGTTTAAAAATATCGACACATATAATATAAATCAAATCATTATTAAAACCAAAATTAACCAATTTTTAAAATTTTTAAACTATAAATCAAACCATTATATGAAATTTAATTTTAAAATGATAATAATAACTAAGTATTTAAAATATTATTAATAATGTAAAAATAATAATATTAAAATTATACAAAAAAATTTTAAAAAATTATTAAATGGCTTAAACAGGTCAACCCATTTACACTCTATGCCCTATAAGGCTAATCCTTTTAAGCTCGTTTTCTATTTGAAGAGAAAAATTTTAAACCCAACCCTCATATTTTTTGGACTTAAACAAACCAACCCAACAAGCTAGATCTATTTTTCCGGTTCTAAAACTGGCAAGATTTTGGCCAGTCTTGAAAAGTTGGGGCCAATGTGTCTCCCCTTGTAATTTCCTTTTTGGGTTAAAAGTGAAAATTTAGAGTCATTTGGCTCATAATTATATTTTACGTATCTTTTACATGCATATTTATTTTGTATTTTATAATCATGATCAAAAAATTATTTATAAATTATTTTAAATATGTCTTTAAAAGTTTACACTTATAGGATTTATATTTTGGATACTCAAAAAGAATTTTTTTGTATATTTATTTTTAAAACTTAAAATCACAATAATTTTTTTTACCGTAAACTATTATTAACGATAAAAAGTGAAATTATTATGATTTTAAATTTGAGTATTAGTTGTTGCATTTCAGCTTCACGCGTCTGTATATATGTACCTTCTCTAATTATTATGGAAAAGTAAAAGGGAAAATCACAATTAAAGACCCTGACATTTGGAAAATATAGATAGGGACCCATGATAATTTTACTATGCCTTTGATAATAATAATATGTCATGAAGTTGTCAAAACTCATAGTAAAATTATCACGAGTCTTTATCTACATTTTTTAAATTTTAGAATCTTTTTTGTGATTTTTTCAGAAAAGAATACGGGAAAAAGCTATTCAAAATTTTAAATTGGTTCCCCCTTCGCTCCTTCCTTCTTCTTTTGCCGACACTTTTGCCTTTCTTTGTTGGATTCTAAAACAGTGTTGAAAAATATAAAGTGTTGCATTTGAAATAAATATGATTCATTTTACAAGCGTTAAATTAAGTTTGTTCTGTAATCAAATAAAGTTTTTTTAATTTTGTCCTTAATTATTTATTATTTTATCATACTCTCTCTTATTTTCTCATACATTTATTTTCATTTTACAAGGACATATTTTAAAAAAAAAATATTTCTAATCTAATTATTACTTTAACTAATTTGTTATTATTTACAAATTAGTTATTTGAATTTTATAATTAATATATCAAATTAGCTTCTCTAAACACACCAAACAATCATCTCAACCAAGAAAGTAGTGATATAATCAAACTCAAAAGATTTAGGGTGTGTTGAGGATTACATTTGGAATCACAAACTAACTTCTCTGTCGGTAAAAGGAGCTTTTTTGATTTGAAATGTGTTTAGAATCACATTTTTACAATCTGATTTATTTGTGCAAATGAGCTTTTATCCCTTATTTGGATTGAGAGAAAATTTGGAAGGAGAGAAAACTAGAGAAGAAAACATGAGAAGAAACAAATTTTCTCTTGCTTGAATAGGAGAGAAAATGTGAGAGGAAAGAAAAGTGGAGGAAAAAATAAAAGAGGCCCTATGTCTTATTTTCTCTCCATATATGGAGATATTTGGAAAGAAAAACAAGACTTCCATGACTGCCTCTCATCTCTCTTCTTCTCCATATTTATTTTCTTTTATTATATTCAAAAAGTTATTCACTTTTTTTATCTTAAAATAAAATTTTTATTAAATAATTTGGTTTTAAAATATAATAATCTGAAAATATATACAAACCAAATAACTTGATTTAAAATTATTTGATGATGGTAATGTTAGTATAATTTTTCTATTATAATATTTAATTTAATTTAATTAAAAATATGATATATTTTGATAGGGACATCATTTAGATATATGCTAATTTTCTTTCCTCTATATTTTCTCTCATCCCTCCAAGCAAGAGGGATAATCACAACTTCCCTTCAATTTTCCTTCTCTCTACTTTCTCTCCTCCCATTTTCTTTCCTCTTAATTTTTCTTCCCATCCAAGCAAAGTATTAGGAAAAAGCTCCTTTTTATTGCTTTTACCAGTAAGTCCAAAAAAAGCTTTTAGAGTATATTCATCTTCGATGTCTGTATATTTTTTTTTTGTTGGGAAGTCAAAAATGAGAAGAAGAGGCGCAGCGTTTGCCACTATTATATATATATGGTTCATTTTACAAACTTTAAATTAAGTTTGTTCTAAAATCTAATAAATTTTTTCTAATTTTATCCTTAATTATTTATTTATTTTATCATACGCTCTCTTATTTTCTCATACATTTATTTTCATTTTACAGGAACATATTTAAAAATAAAAATATATTTCTAATATAATTAATACTTTAACTAATTTTTTATTATTTACAAATTAGTTATTTGAATTTTATAATTAATATATCAATTTAGCTTCTCTGAACACACCAACCAATCATCTCAGCCAAGAAAGTAGTAATATAATCAAACTCAAAAGATTTAGATGTAAAAGAGAATTGCACACATGGAGAAAATGTAGTTTCATAATATTTCTCATAGTATGTGAAAATAAAAGAATTAAAGAATTAAAGCTCATCCAACATTCCTTATTAATGCGCACTCGACGCTCGCTGCTATTAGTGATCTGAAGACACGGAACGACAACAAATAAGAGATGTTGGGGAAAATGGTAAAACCCTTTTTTCTTTTCCTTTTGTTTTTTTTTTTCATTTTTATTTATTTATTAAAAAAGCTCTTTCCTGGTCAAAAAAAAAAAGCTCTTCTTTTAGTAAAAAATTTACCTGGACTTTTTACAGAGTTCGGCTTTTGCTAATGGTCATTTGTTGAAGAGAAAAAGGGATTTTAATTTAATAAAACTCCTATTTATAAGGTAAAAAAATTAATCTTATTCATAAGTCATTTTATTAAATTTTTAACATAAATATATTATTTTATTCTTAATTTATTATTGTATAGATTTTTATTTTTCTTTACAAATATACATATTTTAAAGAAAATAAATGTATAAAGTTATTAGATTTCAAGGCAAAGCTAATGAGGTTTAAGCTTTTTTTAATTTCAATTTATAAATAGAATTAAAAGAATATTGCAGTGCTGTTTTTTTTTCTTATGTGTGAAATTTATTTGATTCCTAAATATTTTAAGGGGGTGTTTGGATAAGAACAAAATTATAGTTTCAGAAGTACTTTTACGGTATACAAAGTAAATATGTGAAGGAATTTGCTTCGATTTGCGGAAAAGTACTTCTAGGGTTAGCCAAACACCCCTAAGTTTGATTGGTGCGTTTACTGGTCTAATAATTGGATCACCTTCTCTTATTTAATTTGTATTTCACAGCTTATGTAGATAACCTTTGTATGGTTCAACAACTCAAAGAAAAGCTAATAAATGGCTTAAAGTTTACTCAAATGTAATAATACTTTTCTTATTCTTATTTTTAATGTAGAACTTAATTGATGAGTTTTTTATAACTGACTAATTGATGAGTTTACCTTCGTCTTATTTCCCATCTTTATGAAATTTTTTCATCCTTATTAATATTTACTCAACAATAATTATACTGTTCCATTTTTAAATATAAAACCTATAATCTAATTTACATTATAAAATGAGTCTTATATTTAGAATACAAAAAATATCTTACCGTGAGCCTAGTCCATTGCTGAGTTGTTTTGGGTTAGACCCCACATACTCCAATAACCCCTGGCTTTGTTTTTTTGAAGTAAAGATCTTTAATATTATTTTTTAGATGTAATTTTATTTTTATCTTTTTAATGATGTAATTTTACCCATTATTTTTTTCCAAAAATAAGGTAAAATTGCATTAGAAAATCAGGATAAAACCATCGGTGAAATTGCAACAAAAAATAAGATCAGGATAAAATTATACCTTTACCCCTTTTTTCTGATATAATTCGTTTAATCTTATAATGAAATTGTCCTTTGATTAAAAAAAATTAATTAGTTGAAAGAGGATGCATTGGAAGAAACAAGGGACAACAGTAAAAAAAGAAGTTGGAATTTTGTAAATGCTAAATAAGAAATGTCAACAAAAATTTGTTGTTATTTGTAAATTCAGACTTGTTAATGTCAAATAAAGTTGTGTTGTCAAACCTGATTTGGGGTTTGCAATTTTCAGCTCTTTTTTTTTTTCCTGTCATTCTCCCCAGAAACAATGACGCTATCCTATTTACACACGTTTGTACAGAATATCAGCTTGATCGATATTAATTAACACTGCATAATATTCTCCAAGTATGTAATTTGGATGGGAAACATTGAATCAACTTATTAATTACATTAACAAGAAGGATGTTGTTATGAAAATGAAGATTACTTTGTATTCCTCCTATCCTTAATATAAGATTTGATTATTGAGTTAATTTTGCTCCTAAGTATAAAAATTATTTCTAATATTTATTTATTTTGCCTAAATTAGTCCTATTGATAAAGAAGATGATTATGGTGTTTTAGTAAAAATATGTCATATTTTTTATAATTAAATAACTTATTTATCTTTTTTAATTTAATCAAATTAGTTAAACAAGTCTTATATTAAGGACCATATGAGTATTAATTAATCAACTCATCAACACTAATGATTACAATATAAACTCTTCCAAAGGTTAATCTACGCTAAACTCTATGTTAATGCTTCAGGTGATAGCCATTTTTATTAGCCTCTTGCTGAGGAGACGACCTTCTTGCACAACTGCATATGAACTGTGCCGCCTTTTATATAGATACTAAAGTCTTACATTGAGGGATTGAGAAACATCTAATCTAACTCTCTTCACTAATCAACCAATTAATATTCCAACAGTTATTATTTTTATGAACATGTACTTTACTTGGGAATTTCTACTGACTTGAGCTTTTGTTGGTGAGAAGAGACAAAATTGAATTTCAATAATTTCACAAAAGTGAAATCGCCAATAGAGTTCAAATCCTATAACATCAAAAACGAGTATTGCTTTACGCTCCTCTCCTGAACACACCTCAAATCAGAATATTGTATATTGAGGATGTGATTCTCCTTCATAGTTATGCATGTTCTGCATGATATGAAGGAAAGACTATATCAAGAAAATTATTTTGTATAAAAAGGTCCTTTTAGTAGTTTGATTAACATCGATCAGGAGATCATCAGACAAATACTCATATTTTGATTAAAATCAATTATAGGACCATCAACTATTTTTTCCATAAGCATAATTGATTTTAAAATGGGGTGTTTGAATAAATTTGTAGGAAGGTATAATTGAAAAGGATGTAATAATAACTTATAAGGTAACCATAATTTTTAGTTTATAATTAATTTTTGCATGTATTTGGTGGTTGAGATATAACCATGGTTTTGTCTTTATAATTGATTTTGACATGTGTAAGAAGTGTTTGGGAGTTCGTGTGATAATCATGATTTTGAATTCATAATTGATTTTAGCATGTATCAGGGGCATTTGGACATTTCTTAAGAAAATTATAATTTTAGCTTTTCTATTACCCAAAATCAATCTTATAAATCAATTACAACCAATTTTATTCTTAAAATCATAATCATAAGTCAATTTTATTTGAAATCTATTTTTCTCATTCTTAATCTTTTAACAGATATGTCACATCAACCAAACTCACTAATTGATAATGTTTTTCATTCAAATCTGCTCATGGTACGAGCCTTGGGTTAAAAAAAAAAGAGAGAGACGGTAAGCGCTTTCTATATATGGAATAAGTAAAACGACATATTTTTTTATTATATATTTTTGGTTTTATTTAATAGTTAAAAATTAACCCGTCAAGTATAGTGGAGTCGTTTAAACTTGGAAAAATTAAAAAAATATCTCATGAATCTTAAAATCCCAATTAAAAATTTATTATAAAAATATATTATCATTTATTGTTCAAATATAACCAGTGCTATTAAAACTTAGTAAATGAGGCTGATTCAGAATTTTGAAATTTAAGAAGTGAGCATTAGGATTTTCTCTTCTAACTTTGGGCCTATACTTGACCCTTTTTTACCGTCAATTTCTTTATATTTGTCGCTTTTATCTTATAACCGTAAAATATTTATGTATAATTTTTTTTTCAAATATATATATGGGAAAGCTGTTTTTATAAACAGTTCATTATATTAAAGTTATAAGCTTTAACCAAAAAACATACGCAGTTGGAACAGCAAAACTAGGAACAACAAATCAGTAGGAACACAATTGCAAACATCCAAAATTCATATATTATGCAATCAATATTGGCAAATCTTGTCATATTAAGAGTTAGTAAATATTACGTAGTAAAGGTTATAGTAAGATAATTAGTAAATAATAGTATATCCCATTTTATATCTATTATATTTTCTTAACAATAATAAATATAATACCTTTAGATGTAAATAGAAAAGGAGCAAGGATAATAAGGTTGAGCTGTTCTCTCATTTTGATATTCTTTTTGTATAATATTTTTATTGATTGTAAGAAATTTCTGTGATCATATGATTGTAAGAAATTTCTAGTAAGGGATAGTTTTAACTTCCAATAGATATGGTTAAAGATGATAGCTTAGTAAAATCTATTTGCTATAAATATTAGGCTTAATTATTTTTCTTAAAATTTTAAATTAGCTATCTAATTTTATATTAAGGACTAATATATACCACCATAGTGTATTATACTACTCAAAACTTGATTTGGTGCTCATCGCAATGATGAGCCTTATGACATTCATCGTGGGTGAAATCTTATCATTAAAATACAATTTTAATGGTCTAAAAATAAAATTTTTAGCTATAATATTTAAATAGACAAATCATAGTTTTAAACACTAACAAATAAAATATTATTTTTATTTTAGATTCTCTGTATGTTAAAATAATTTTTAAAAAAATAAAAATAATAAATAAAATTAAATCCCAACCATCTAAATTAAGTCCATACAAGGCACAACAACGATGAGTTCTCGATGCTCGTCTCCCAGGCACTGAAACTAATTCTGCAAGGTAGGCTTGAAATCCCAAGGCCAATGTGTCTTCACGAACACTTTATTTTGGGTTACGCTGTAAATTTATCACAATCTTAATTTTTAGGTATGTTCAATATCTTTTCTTAGTGGTGTAATTTTAATCATAATTTTACAATTTTACCCATATTTTTCAGGATGAAATTTTACTCTTAATCTTTATGTGCCATTTTATCCCTCAAGAATAAAATTAAGGTATTAGGTGTACTTAAAAATAAGATCATGAGTAAATTTGTGTCCTTATACCTTTATTTTTCACATGAAAAGGGATAAAACTGTAATTTTACTCATAGTCTTATTTTCTTATATAATTTTATTTAAAATCTTTTTAGTAGTGTAATTTTATCTATAATATTTTTTATGCAATTTTACTCGTAATGTTTTGCTGAGTGTAAGGGTAAAATGCGCTAAACAAATCATGAATAAAATTATACTATTAAAAATATTAGAGATAAAATTACATTTAAAAAATAAGATTAAAAGTAAAATTATATTTTTACTCTGAAAAAATCAACTCAGTCATCCAGCTGTGCATTAGTTGGTCTCGATATGCGTACTTTTTGTAAATATTACTGTGTGAACATGGAAAAAGCGGTTCAGAGTGGTTCCCCTTTCGTCGTCTTCTTTTTTTTTTGGTGAAAGTTCTCCTTCTGTCTTCTTTTACTAAGACTTTGCCTTTTTTTCTTGGGTTCGAAACAGTGTTGAATAAAAAAAAGTATTGCAGATTATTATTCAACTTTCCTTTTAAAGTGATTGTCAAATTTAGGAATGGCCCTCCTGTGTGGATTTCCTCTGCATTACTCCTAATCATTTTCTTAGGGGAGAATTTCAGTAAACTAATTAATGTTAATCAACTCCAAAAGATTTCAAAATTTTAGTCTATCCTTTTAAACAAAAATAAAATTAAAAATTAAGGATGAAAGTATAATAATACCCCTACTTTTATTTTTTTAAAAAAAATGATTAACTGTTAGGGGAGTTTTGGTTTCTAAAAGATTTTTTTTTAAAAATAAAGTGATAAAAAAGGGTTTGAATCCCAAATCTCTTGGCAGATAAAAAAGTGACTATCAAACCAATCAAATCATTTAATTATATAATGTAAAGAAATATATATACTACTTCCGGTCCTAAGACCCAGTTGACTTATTTGAGGAGATTAAGGAAGTAAGTTAAGTTGGTTATTTGTAATAAATAAATGTTGTCATTCCTAAAATATCCTTGCTAATTAAGTATATTGGCTAGAACTATAATTATTAGAAGGATTATCTTGGAAAAAATGTATAAATATAAGAGACAAAATGGATTGGGGTCTTATAATTAGGACCAAATAAAAAGTCAAACGGGGTCTTATAATAAGGACCGGAGGTAGTATATATATAATACAAGTACCTAAATATGAATAAATAAGTGAAATTTGACAATTCACATAAAAAAAAAATCAGCGATTTAAGTGTGAATGAGCAAGTAAAATTCAATAATTTACAAGAAACATAAGTGTATTCATAACTTTAAATGCAAACGTTTAGGTGTGAATGAGCAAGTAAAATTCGGTAATTTACAACTCAAATTCAACCATTTACAAGAAATATAGGTGAATTCACAAATCACAACCTCAAATGTAAGCATGTGGGTGTGAATAAACAAATAAAATTTTACAATTTACAACAAAAATTGAGCGATTTATAGCCCAAATTTAGCTATTTGTAAGAAATATAAGTGAATTGAAAATCTCAACTATAAGTATTTAGACGTGGATGAACAAGTAAAATTTGACAGTTTACAACAAAAATTTGGTTATTTACAACCAAAATTTGATTATTTATAAGAAATATAAGTAAATTTATAACTTCAAAAACAAGTATTTAGGTGTAACTAAGTAATAATATAATATAATATACTATAATCAAACTCAAAATATTTAGAAATAAAGTGAATTCCACACATGCAAAAGAAACAACTTTATGATATTTTTTATATCTTATTTATAAGTTACTTTTAATATATTTTATAGAGGGTTAATACAATGATTGGTCCTCATAGTTTACTTCTATTTTGCTTTTGATTCCTGAAGTTTCAAACTAGAGCTTTTGATCCCTCAAGTTTGCTCTGTTTAAAACTGTTAGTCCCTCTAGTTTAAAAAGGATTTGGCATTTGTGTTAACAGTGTTAATTATACTGACTTGTCTTTTAACACTGTTTAATTTGTTGACGTGGCATGCTATATGGACTTATGACCTGGAAATCCTTTTTTTGAAAATAAATTTGTGATTATAGGGGTGGGTGACTTGGACCTGAAAATTAACTACCACCGTTTAATTTGCTCTAATTTTTGAATATATTCTTGAATATATTATAGAGAGCCGGTTAGCCATCGAGAAGGTTTGTTCTTGAATATGAAACAATAACAAAAAGTTCAGTTCTTGAATATGTATTTGAGAAGACCAGTTTTTGAATATATATTCAAGAAGGCCAGTAAAATTGCACACATTACTATATTAGTATTTAGATACCATTCCCGAAAAAGAAAATACACATTGGAAAAATCACGTAGAACTTCTGTGCTCGAGTATGTATTCGAGTACTCCCATCTGTCGCAAAAACAGAATGACGAGGAAGAGGGAATTGTGAGAGCATGAAGAGAAATATGGGAACACTTGCAAGCATAATAGCAGGGAGGAGACTCCATGAGTAGTTTGTATGATTCAACATAAGATAAATGGTGAAAAGAAAGGCAAAGCAAACCCATGATTATTTTTTTTTAAAAAAAGACAAAGCATATACTATAATCAAAGAATCGAATCATGAATTTTACTATTGTCATTTACTAAAACAGAGCACATTTTATCATTGTCCAAGATATGGAAGAACCTCAAAAGTCAGTCATCTCTTTACTTTCTATATGCCATCTACAATATAAAACTAATAAGAAAAACTAATCATCAAAGAGCAAACCACAAAAAAACATAGCATCGAAGCTCTATTGATTATGGAACCAATAATAATAAAAACAGAGCATTCAAAGAGCACACCACAACATGCCATTGCTTGTGCTCTTTTTGAACAGACTAACAAGAAGAATCCTTACCTTTCAACAACATGAAACGCAGATGACAACATTCCTGTGACCTTCAATAACCTTCGCCCATGGTCACCGGAGTCAACCGCACCGGTGACGGCCACGTAAGGCTTCTCTGGCTGTGGGTCCAACTTGACCTAGCGCTTTCTTCTTTTTTTCCTTCAGCCTTTAACTGTCTTTGTTTTTTTCCCAGTCAATCATGCACATGCATTTTGTTTCAAGTGTTTTTGTTTTTTTCTTGTTTTTTTAAAATCACAAATCCAGGTTGGCAAACTAATCACTAAGCTTTGTTGCCTAGTCAACATGCCATGTCAGCGAATTAAATGGTGTCAAAAGACACGTCAGCATAATTAACACCATTAACACAAACACCAAGTCATTTTTAAATTAGAGGGATTAACGGTTTTAAACAGAGCAAACTTGAGGGACCAAAAGCTCCGGTTTGAAACTTCATGGACCAAAAGCAAAATGAAGGTAAACTATGAGGACCAAGCAATGTATTTTCCCAAAGTTTTAAACCTTATTAACTTTGTCTTAGAATTTAACAACTTTATAGCTTTATCCCTATTTAATATATTTTTTATAAAAAATAATAATTTATATAATAATAAATAATAAATAAAATAGTAAGTTCATATTAAAAATTGAATAAAATACCTATAGGGAAGACAAAAACAGTTTTTTCTTCATGTTTTATAAATAAGACTCCTGCGAAATTGAAATTCCCTTTTCTCTTAAACATTAACCATTACCAAAAGCCAAACTCTGCACAAAGTCCAAGTAAATTTGTTCATGTTAAAAATCTCTGTTTTTTTCTTGATTTGTGAAATAAAAATTTGAAAGTATATACCAGCTTTAAATGTTTTTTATTTTGTATTTTTTTTTGGTAAAATATTTGAAGCACACATATCTGGATAGGCTTGTAAATTTGGAAAAAGACATTGTTCGTAAATGAGAAGGAAAAATCATGAAACCTCATCTAAACATCATGTGTTTGGGGAAGAAGTGATTAAGAAAAAAAAGGATCAAAGAAAGAAACAAAAGCAAGAGAGGGACTGGCGAGGGACCCACGACCCAAAGTTACGGGAAGGAGATTCCTTCCTACTAATTAATTACTCTCACGCGGGGCAATCCCTTTTTGCTTTGTCGGTCAGATAATGTGATGATTTGTGAAATAATTTTTTTTTTTACCAGATTTGTGAAATAAAAATTTGAAAGCATCCTATATGCCAGATTTAACTGTTTGTTAGTTTTTATTTTTTTTGGTAAAATGTTTGAAGCGCACATATTTGTAGAGTTTTGTAAATAAATAAGAAGGAAAAGTCATGACGCCTCACTAAAGCAAGTCTTTGCCTTTCAGTAGACGGCAGTAGCTAGTTAGGTAAAGAGAAGGGAAAAAGGTTGGTTCTTTCGTCTTCCACATCTCTACTTTTATTGCAGTTCGGCGTCTGTGGATCACAGCAGTGACTGTGGAGAAGAAAGCAAGATTGCTTCAACAGCTTTCGTAGCAGTATAGATCTCTGTATAATGAGTTTTAAAGATCTGCACAAAAGCTTCTCTTTATTTTACCCACTCGTTTTAATTTCATACCTTTGATTCATTTTCTTGTTTTCTTAATATGATTATATATTGTTGCAGATTATTACCCTTTGGTCAAACGAAAAGACGGAACCCTTGCAATGGCACGTTGTGCCAGAGGAGAATCTTCTTCCAGTTCTAATCCTTGTAATTCAACTCCTAACTTAGATGATGCTTTCAATAGAAGAGGCATCAAAACTTTCGGGTAAGTTTTCTTTTACAATCATTTAATCATATTTTCCATATTTATTTGTGGCACAGATTCGTTTTGGTTTAAATGGTGTATAATCGTTTGAAGCAGAGATGATGGTAACATGAAAGTAGCATCCATTATAGGCCCAGATGATAATCTCCCGTTAATAATAAAGCATATCTAACGTATTTAATTTCTTAAATTTACATCAAGTTTCACTTTACTCTCCTTAATCATTTGGTTGGCAGAAAAAAATTGTAGTCCTTTGAACTTAACGCTAATAAAAAATATTAACTCAATCATTTTAAAATAATAAAATGGTTTTGAAATGCTGACATATTAATTTTTAATTTAAAATATCTAAAAAAATATTTAAAATAAAACTTTATTAATAATTTTGCAATTTAATTATTATAAAAAATTTTCCTTACTTTTTATCGTGAAAAAATTATCTAATTAATCTTAAAATTTAAATCATTTGAAAAGTTATAATTATTTTAAGGACTAGTGTTATTAGTAACTTTTATACTCAATCTAATATCATAATTTAAAAAGCTGCATAAAAATTAATAAGTCGTAATTTAAGATATTTTTAGATTAATAATTTTATGAAAATTTAAAAGTAAATCTTATAGAACTATGTTAGAAAATTTGATCATAGGAAATAATTATGTTTGATGGCATCTTTAATTAGGTTTTATTTTAAATACTTTTTAATTTACATATTTTAAATTAAAAATTAATATGTCAATATTTAAATGCTGAATCATCATTTTGAAGCTGTTGAGTTAACATTTTATGTTAGCAAGGTTAACAGTAGTAAATTTAATGGACCAAAAATACACATTTTAAACTTGTAATGCTAAACTGAAACTTAAAGAAGTAAATATATACTTTAAGCCTTTTGCCAATATATTTATTATGTTATACTTCAACAAACGTTATATAATTGGTTCATTATTGAAGTATGGATTACTGATTCTGTTAATTTTAATTAATCAATTATAAATAATATTGGTTTACATGCATTTACATTATATGTGATTTGAATAATCTAATAATAATTATTAATAAATGATTTGAATAATCTAATAATTATTATTAATAAATACTTTTTTTTAAAAAAGGTTCTAAGATGGTACGGGACGAGTTGAGCATCCGGAGACATTACAAATTGAACGCCTCTAATCATGTTATTCCATACCTAATATACAATTTCTTTTTCTTTCTTTTCTTCCCAAACACCTGCAATATTTACAGCAAAATTAGGCACCCAACTCTCTAATAGCACGCTGCTAACATTTCAGTCCTTCAAAATTATAAATTTAATCAAACCCAACAATAATTATCAGTCATCCTTCTCAGTGCAGTTTTTTCTATTGTTTATTTGAAATTTCTATAAGCATTTCCCCTAACTTTCAGTTATTTTTATGAGAAATATATTCTCTATAATGAAATCACCTGCAGCCCACTATTTAATTATCTTCTCGGTAATATATGAAGTCTCCTAATGATAAGTTTTCTTTTTCATTTGTTTTCTTTATGAAGATTATGTTTTGACTTTATATTAGAAGTCCCTTTATACTTGTGAACAATATCATTTAAATTTGTGAGGAGCACTATTTCCATTGTAAAATAGAAAATTGGAAGGTATTCATTTTGATCTGTTAAGAGAAAAATCAAATTTTTAAATGATGAATGGATTAACCAAATGACAATGCACATTGATAATTAATAAGTTGATGAATACAGACCCAACAAAATTATGAATAATTCGATTGTCTTTTGGGTCAAGTGATCACATTTCTAATTTTAATGAGCAGAATGATCAATTCTTATTTGCTCAACTATTCCCTGTTATATAAAAAAAAAAAAGTATTGTAGCTTTAGTAAACAATATTCGTGAAAAGTCGCATTTTTCATTATTATTTTAATTAATTTATTATGACTATACAAGTCATGTTAAACAATTTTGTATATATTTTTTTTTGATAGGCGTGAAGCAGATCTTATAGAAGAAATAGTCACAGATGTACGGGCTTACATAATTCCTAAATTACCATCTTATGTTGACAATCTAGTTGGGATTGAGTCAAGAGCACGTGATATAATGTCTCTCTTGGAGGTTGGGTTGGATGACAGACGTTTTGTAGGGATATGGGGTATGGGCGGGGTGGGTAAAACAACTCTTGCTAGAGTTGTTTTTGAAAAACTATCCCACGATTGTGAAGTGTGTTGCTTCCTTGCTAATGTTAGAGAAACATTCGAGAAAGAAGGCAAGGTCTCTTTGCAACAGAAGCTTCTTAAAGTCATGACTATTCCTAATGATTACGAAGGATTGAAGATGATAAGAAATTGTCTCTGCGATAAAAAGGTTCTTCTAGTCATTGATGATGTAGATAATGAGGATCAATTAACTAATTTGGCCGAAAGTCCAGATTGGTTTGGCAAAGGAAGCAGAATAATTTTTACAACAAGAGATAAGCACTTGCTCACCTCATTTGAAGTAGATGAGCAAAGAATATATGAGATGAAAACCATGGAGGAAGATGAATCTCTTCAACTCTTTTTAAACAAAGCATTCAACAAAGGCCATCCTCCTGATGAGGCTTATTGGAAGCTATCTAAATCTGTAGTTGAACATGCAGCTGGTCTTCCTTTGGCACTTAAAGTTTTGGGTTCTTTTCTTCACGGAAGGAAAAAAAATGAGTGGATAGATACTTTAGATAAATTGAAGAAAAGTTATCTTGCTAAAGATATTTCTCAAGTGCTTAAAATAAGTTATGATGGATTGGATGAGCAACAACGGGCAATATTTTTAGATATTGCTTGTTTTTTCAAGGGTTACAAAAAAAAAATGTAACTAAAATATTGAAAAGGTGTGATCTTAACCCAACCATTGGAATAGGGGTCTTGATTGACAGAACTTTACTAGTTGAAACAGATAATGGCACATTAGAGATGCATGATTTACTTCAAGAGCTGGGTAGGAATATTGTTCATCAAGAATCTCCCAAGAATATTGGCAAGCGTAGCAGGTTGTGGGAGTTTGAGGAAATTAAGGAAGTATTGAAAAATAACAAGGTGAGTGCCATATTTTCTAAATATCTCATTTTGTTGACATACATTTAATGTTTTTAATGTTCTTTATTTTCTTATCATTCTCATGTTATTTTTCTTGCAAATGACATTTTTATTAGGGATCTGAAGCAATAGAAGCTATTTTTATGCAAGATTGGTGTCGGTACGAGCAAGATAAAATAGAAGTACATCCTGAAGCTTTTTCAAAGATGAGTAACCTTAGGCTCTTCTTATGTATGATATATAACAATCCGTTCATCTTCCCAAGTGAATGGAAATTTTTGGCTGGTGCATTAAAAGTTGTTGTTTGGCCATATTCTCCTTTGGAAGCTCTTCCACTTGAAACTCAATTGAATGGACTTGTTGAAATGGACATGTCACATAGCAAAATAAAACAACTTTGGAACAACAAACAGGTAAGATTGATACTTCATGCATGATTGTTTATCTTAAAATTATATCCTTGTGTTCATGTTTTATTGATATACTGCTTAGTTAGACTGACTCTACCATCTTTTGTTTGATTCTAGCATATGACAAAGTTGAAATCTATCGTATTGGAAAAGTCTCTCAATTTGACCGAAACTCCAGACTTCTCAGGTGCTCCAAATTTAGAACATTTACATCTTGGTGGATGCACATCTCTTGTCAAGGTTCATCCCTCCCTTGGACAACTGGGAAAGCTTGTTGAGGTGGACTTGAATCATTGTTCAAACCTTGAAATCCTACCAAAAAAATTGGAAACAAATTCTTTGGTGAAGTTAAACCTTAGGGGGTGTAAAAAAGTTGCAAAGCTCCCGGAGTTTGGGGAAGATATGGAAAAACTATCATATCTTGATGTGGGTACTGCTTCTATAACTAGACTTCCTGAAACAGTTGGATCCTTGACAGGTCTTGAATATTTAAATTTGAGTGGCTGTAAAATTGAAAATCTTGACAAGTTGTTGAAGACTCACATAACTCACCAAATTTCCGGCTTGAATGTAACGTCCTTAACAGAGTTATATTTAAGCGGGTGTGGCTTAGATGATGGATCGATTCCTGATTTTGACAGTTTATCATCGCTCATTGTATTGGATCTAAGCGTTAATGATTTTGAGAATCTACCCATTGGTTGCTTCTCTGGTCTTTCTCGACTTGTCTTCCTTTCATTGAATTGCTGCAAAAGGCTCAAGTCATTGCCAAGGCTCCCATCACGATTAATTCGATTACATGCCTCCGGTTGTGATTCAATGGAACCATTATCATCAGATGGACAGTTATGGAATTTGGTTGCTTCACTTGACCACGAGGTATGCGTTTCTCTTCCTACACCTCTAATGCGTATTTTTTCCACCTTAAAACTGCAATTATATAACATGACTAATTTTTGTTCTCAGTGTCGTTGGCGAACTGAATGTGAAGTCGATGATGATTGGGATGAAGATGGGCTGCAAGAAGTTCCTTCTGTGCTATTCCATTATGTGTGTCTTATTTTTGTGTTTTTTTTCTCACATATGCTCCCTTCATGGGTAATTAATGTTAATAACATATTGTTTGATATGTTTGCAGGGAGCTGAACGGCTTCCCCCGCTAAGAGATTTCTGTGCAAGTCTTCCAGGATGCGAAATACCATCATGGTTTCCACATATAGAAGATTGCCATTTGGATGAGTGGGGTAGCAAACATGAGATTAAAGTGGACATACCTCCATATTTTCGTGACAGTGAATGGTGCGGAATTGTTGTGTGCTTCCGTATGTCAGGTTACGGTGATGGTGATTGGAACGTTGGTTGGAGTAGCAAAGCTGCAGAAGATGATGATGATTATATACTCGAAGTGTGGGAGTGTGATATTCCTTACTCCCTTTCCGAAAAGCAGGGCATAATAATGGTGTTGGAATTAAATGAGGAAACATGTTGGCGGCACCTAAGAGCTCATCATAGCAATTCCCTTCGCATTCTATTTTCTGCTGACCATTCGGGTCACGATTGGGAAGTAAAGGAATGTGGGTGGAGTGTGATATGTAAAGAAGAGATACAAGATTGGTGCAATCTCAATGGTTTCTTCAACCAAGCCACCCAACCCCAGCTTGCTTCTTCTGATGAGGTCAAGGTTCCGCTGAGAGCACTTGTGGAATTCTTTTTAGGGGAGCGGTGTTTGACTCGCTGATTCAAGAACCAGAGAAAAATGGACGAGAATAGGTAACAATGACTCATTGTCTTCCTACTCCTTCCATTCTAATATAATATTTGTCACTCCAGATATTTGTCTTTGTTTCAAAAATTTTTGCCATTTGATGAAGTTTTCAGAGAGAGAAAGAATTTAATTAATTTCCTTGTTATAAATGAACACTGAGCACTTGTTAACATGAATAAAGGCATTTAATGAAGTGAAATACCATTGCATTTCGGTAAAATTTAAATATTTTGTTATTTTCTTCAACACAAACCGAAAGTGATAATTCACGAGCGAAGAAAATCATTTTCTCTATAAATTAAAAAAAAAAACAAGTCAAGTTCCATACACTTTATGTGATGATGTAACAGTGGATTTCATAAGAACAGTAAAGTGTAAGTGACATGAATCATTCCTCTCATATACCTGCGGGGATGCAAACACAGGTGTCAATAACATAATCATATTATTTACCATAACAAACTAGAAAAAAAAAAGGACAATAAAAAGAACCAGTAAATAAAAAGAACCAGAGTTATGAAACAGAGTGAATCTTGGAAGCCGTCAATTTGGTTGAAAGCACCCTCCCCTGTTTCCAATTTTGAAAGAGATCCAAGTTCCATGCATAATTACAAGTTTGAGTTAGTACGTAAAACTATACAACTTGGCTACACAAATTAGATAAATTGTTTTAATATTGATGATATCATATGGTAATAGAATATTTTGGTATATAACATGTTGATGTATCACCTGTAAAGAAACAGAGCATTTAAAAATAAAGTGAAATAAAAAGACATGTCTCAATGTGCGTGAGCAATTTTGTTCGCAAAATTAGTTATGTGTTGATAATAAAACCTCAAAAAAAAAAAAAGAAGAAAAATTCTATCATATGGATATGTTTATTTCAGGAAGAAGAAGAGAACAAATAAATGATAAACAGTTCAAGAAGAAGAGATAAGTAGAAGTAGTTCATAGTTAGACAAACATAAACATATGTTTGGCACGAATTATATTTTTATGATGAAATTAAATTGTAATAAGAATATATAAATATATTTAGGTACGTATGCATGCATGCACATAAAATTGGTGGAAGCCATTTAGTTTATGATGATTAATTAAGTGGCTCAAATATTGATTACTTATTGTATTTGTTTATTGTGTATATAACATAATAGGAAATGTATTGTATAAATAAAATTCTATTCTTGTTCATACTGAAATAAAGGGATGTGGGTGGAGAGTGATATGTAAAGAAGACATACAAGAGTGGCGCCATCTAAATCATTTCAGCCAAGAGAGTGCATCGCAAAAGCCATTCATTTGTTTGACCAGATGAGGACTTTTGACCTCAAAATCATTTATAAATTAATCGTTAAAAAGATGATTTTCAATTTCACATTCTAAAATATTTATGTAATTCGATATATTGCCTGAATTTCTTGCGAACGACCAAAAGAATAAACAACTGGTAGGGACAGTAATTAATCAAGAGAATTCTAGACATACTTAATTGGCAGAGTAATTTTTTCAAAATAATTAAGGGTTAAAACGTATCTAACAAAATTTTTTTTTAATAACATTCAAAATATTTTAAGATGTTGAATACACTAAATATTACTAAAAGATGAAGATTCTCAGTGATACTGAAAAAATAATTTATGTTGTTGAATAAAAATTTTATGATGCTGAATGTATCTTAATCCAACAGTTAATTTCAATTTTCATTGAAGGGATTTCAACACTTTTGCAGATACATACGTTTACTTGGACAACTATTTTAATATATATGTGTGTGTATAGGGAAAAGAAAAAATAATAATAAATGAATAAAACAGAAGCACTGGTTAATTAAAACCTTGTTTGACTTTTATTTTGGTCTTAAATATAAAACCTCAATCTACTTTATTTATGCATTTTTTCAAAGTAATCCTTCTGATAATAGTAGTTCTAGCTAATACACTTGATTAGCAAGGATATTTTAGGAAAGATAATACTTATTTATTAGAAATAACTAACTTAACTTATTTCCTTAATCTCCTCAAATTAGTCAACTAACTTTTATATTTAGAATTGGAGGTAGTACTTTGTTTAGAAAAGTTAACAAAGAACTTACCATATCTAAATAGAGAAAAAATCTAAACAAAATGTTAGATTAATTTATCTAAAAGTAAATTCCTTAACCAATTCAAATAAGAGATTGAACTGTTGTTAGTAGATTGCTTAAATTTCATCTGAACCACCAAAATAACCAATAAATGAAGGATTAATTGGTTAAGGAAGATTTGTAAGAAAAGTGAAAGGAATTTAAAATTATCTCTGCTGTTAAAAAAAAAATTTGGCTAGCTCAATCATAATTATGTCCAACAAAAATATAGATTTCATTTGCATATGTCCACTAGCTAGTTCTGTGAAGCTAATTCATAATGACAAGAACTAAAAAGACCGCTAATCATCATCATAATGAAGGGAATAATAATAATAAACTCAAGTTCTCCTCATCAAATTTATATCAACTACGACAATCCAATGAGTATAGTATCTAATTCGTTTGACTCAGTTTTGACGTATATATTGTAATTACTTTTATATATATAAATATATATATTTTAATTACACAAGTGTTTCCACTCATTTTTCATATCAATCATCAATAACGTTATTAGATAGGCAGACGATACTTATCCTAAAGCGTCGGTGATCAAATGACAATCCTCTATAATCCCTACTACTATTCTACTCATAGCCACGTTTGGTAGGAGGGATTGAGGGGGAGGGAATGGGATTGGAGGGCGGATTGGGTGATTTTGTCATGTTTGGTAGGAGGGATTAAAGATTACCAGGATTGAGCAATGCCACATTAGTGGGATTATACAATCCCACCTTCCCCCCTGGTAATGCGTTTGAATCCTAGGACTAAAATGTATAAAAGACAAAAATACCCATATTACAATAATGTTAAGACAAAATGTATATTTTGTTACAGGCTTGAAATATTTTATTTCAGACAGGAATGTTTTGTTACAGACTTAAAATATTTTTTTTTAGATAGGAATATTTTAATAACTATTTAAAGTAAGATGTGGATTATCTTACTTGAACTTATATTACAGAAAATTACAGTAAGAACTGTCATTTGTTTCTTCTTCTTTTTTTTTTATCTTACATATTATTAATTTCAAAGCGCATTACTAAATTTTAACAAAATTATAATTTTAAAGACCTAGTGATAACTTTTTCTAATAAAAATTTTATAATTTTAAGAAATTATTAATAATTCATCAGGATAAATTTTAAGGAAGTATTATTTTTTTTATTACTTTTTTTTTTGTATATAAATTTGTTGAGATACGATAGAAAGCCATTTCTGATTTTTAAAACATTTAATCTATTCTCATTGTAAAATGAGTAAAAATTTAATGTATTTATTTTTAAAACAATATATATGATCGGGCAGTTTTCTTTTTATTACAAGAGGAGTGTATAAGGTTGGAGTCCCAAGCTCTAAAATACCGGGGGTATTATAATCTTTTAATTTTGTATATCTTATTATAAATAAAATAAATGCATGTATTCCTTCACACATTACCTCCTACCAAACATAAAATAAAAGTCCCATTCCCAATCCCATTACCATTGCCATTCCCAATCCCATTACCATTCCCATTCCATCAAAACCAATCCCTCCTACCAAACATGTAATGTTTCAACTGGAAGATTAGATTGGCCACCAAGCTAACAATAATAGATCTCTCCTTCCTTGGTTCTGTCTCCTTAAGCTATCACGGTTACTGCTGCTACTGACATTCCTTCTTCCGTGGGTTCTACTATGGAAATCACCCCGTCTTAGAGGTGGCAGCTTAGGATAAGAGTTATGCTGAACCAACTAATTAAATGAACAACACAGTCAGAGCGATAAATATGGTTATCACAACAAGATACCTTCACAAATTACAGAGTATGAAATTACAATTAAAAAACAACAGGTTTATCGCAATGACAGAAGTAAAGAAAATGAAATAAATATGAGAAACATATCTCATACTATTACGTGCATCAAATTAATACTCATCACAAGCTAAGAACTCAGTTATCAAATGCTTGAGAAAGATTAATTAAAATTAATATCAGAAGCACCAACCTCTGCTTGTGTTAACTTGTTGAAATCAATGGTGGGATTGCCCCAATCTTGCATCTCTTCTTTAGATAGCACCTGCCACCCACATTTCAATTGTGGGCTCTTAGAATATTGACAGGTGACACTAAGTTTGATGTGAAGACAGTTACTATTTCCTCTTAATTTGCTCATTGAAATCTAAAAGCATTAGGCAGAGGCAAGGCTGCCAGGCGTACACAAGTGAAATTTCATCTTCACGAGCTTTACAACTCCATGAAATGGTAAGTTTATCACAGGTTGACCTGTCTTTTATTTCTAGGCACACAGCAAGCCCAGACCATTTACTTGCACGAAAATATGGAGGGACGTCCACCACTAATTCATATTTTGAAGTACCACTTTCATTTGAAGGAATAGAGCCTCTGTTTGGAAACCATGAAGGTATCTCAGATTTTGGCATTATTGCAAGAAAATCTGCCTCGGGTACATATCTCGACTGTAACAAAATTAATATAACTTTCATTTCCAATAATTACTTCAAAAATGAGAATGAAGAATACAGAGGAAGACATCACAAAAATTTATACCTGAATGGACATATTTAAAACAAGGAATAAAAAATCATGTTATATCTATATAGTTAAAAGAAAAGGATAAAGAAATCGACATATTTGTAAGTTATAGTTAAACATACCTCATGGTCAAGTGATGAAACTAGATTCCCAATTCCATCTGATGATAAAGGCTCCATCGAGTCTCAACCAGTTGCATATAAATGGATTAACCTTGGTGGGAGTTTTGGCAGCGACTTAAGCCTCTCACAGTTATTCAAATAAAGATGAAGTAGTTGAAAAAGATTTGAGAAGCAACCAAA